ATGTCTCCCCAACACTCAGGGTGTCCCCAGAGGTGACACTACTGAGAGATAGTAGAAACTTTAATGCCCTGTGGAAGGCATTTAGGTCACTGGGGGCTGGGAGATGGCGGGCCCTTCCTCTTCGTCTGTCTGCTTCCTGGTGATGAACAGAACATCTGCGCTCGCTGCACACCTCTGTCACAGTGATGCAGTACCACAGTCCCCAAAACAAAGAGGCCCACAGACCATGCCCTGGATCCTCAAAATCATGAACCAAAATAAATCCTTTCTCCTCCTAGGCTGATGGGATTCCAACCAGCACAGCAAAGGACAGAGAGATGCGTTAGCTTCCCTAAGTTCTGACAGCTAGCAGAGGGCAGAGCTCGACCAGGTTGCCAAGCGCCAAAATTGATCTTCTATACAAAAGGATCAATTCATTCCCAGCTGCGGGCCCCTGGGGAGACCCTCAGCAGTGTCTCCGTGCTCTATCTAGTTCAGTTGGGTTAAGTCCAGAGGGAGGAGGTACCTGTGAGGTCCCGCCTAGCGTGCTGGCCTCAGCATGCAGACCACATCTACTTTTGCCTGAACTCTTTTCTAAACCTGAGTGGGGCCAGCTCGCCCATCCTACTACACCTCGGACCTCTGATTGACAGGCCGCCCTTGCTCAGCATCGCTTTGCCAGAAATGTGGCTTCCTGCCCTGCGCCCAAGGAGCAGGACCTGCCTGCTGATTGTGAGGCTTTCCAGGGTCTTTGGTGGATTCTGGCAGGCTGAGCAGCTCTGGGAGACAGTGACAGGGACAGCATATATTTAGGAGCACCCATACCAAGGCTAATAAGAAAAACTTTAGAATCTTTCAACTTCCACCTTGCAAGTTGTTCTTAAGGTATATTTTTCAACAGATTTTATCTGATAAAAATGGTGGCAAAGGATTATAATAATCACAAAAGAAATTGTACTGAGCTCTATGTTCATACCAGTGGAATTCAAGCTGAAAGCTGCCCTTCTCTGCACCTTGCGCAGAGTGAACAGTGCCACCGCTGTCCTCGCTTCTGAGTGACTGCTAAGATGCAGTAACACGGCTAAGATTAGGAAAGGGAGGTGCTTCCTCTGGCTTTCAATGGGAGATTGAATCACGGGGCTGTACTAAAAATCTCCATCTTTTCTTAGGCCTGCACTTGGGTGGAGCACAATATTGATCAACACCTCTAAACTCTAGTTGCCAACGTAAGTCTTCACTGCAAAGAGTCAAGGCCGGTGTTAAGGGATTACAGGTGTGCGCCACCATGCCCAGTCTCAATCGCAGTCTTAGCACACCCCAGGGGGCAGGGCCGACATAGCAGGCCCAGGGATGGAACCCCTGGCCCCTGTGCCTGCTTGCAGGCACTTTAATCCGCTGAGCTAAGAGAACCTGATTCTTCTTAAATAAAACAAAATGAAGACTATACATTTCAAGCAAATAAATGTGGGGTTTGCAGATGAGGTGGAGTCCTGACATGACAGAGCAGCAGCACCCCCAGGGCTTAGGGAAGCAGGACAAACACTGTGACTTGGCTTCTCTCCTGCGCCTTCCGGCCATCCATCTCCGGGTGTGCACAGCACACTAACTCTTGAAGGTTCTCACGCTGTGACTGCTTTGCAGCCAGACCATGCCCAGGTCTTGCCATCTGACAGCAGGAGGTGACGTTCCAGGTTTCACATTCATCACCTTTCTCAGCCTAATCCCCCTGAGCACAGAGGCCTGATTTTTCCAGACTCAAGAGTGTTACAGCAGATGACTCTCAGCTGAGCCCTTCCCAGATGGACTTGATCTCTGCCAAAGGCAGTGGCTGCTCTGTGCCACACCTTTCCTTGGAGGCCACAAACCGTGGCTGTCACAGAAGAACCTGGTGTCTTCTCTCCAAGAGTGATGATTACAAAAGCCACGCCCACTAACGTTGCAGTGACGTCACAGTGCCGCTTCTGTCCGGTCTCCAATCCTGATGTAAGGTGTGGCAGATGAAGACCCCCAGAGCTGTCCTCAACGGGCTTCCTACACACGTATCTGCTTCTCAGAGTCTGACCCTTGGGGAGTCACTATGTTTGCATCGAGGGGACATGCTGAGATCACCAGAGGAGTACGGAGAAGGACATATAGGGCTCCACGGACAGAATGTGGGGCACCCCCGTACATGCAGACCCAGGACATTAGGAGGAAGCAACCAGCGGGCCAAAAAGGAGTGGCAGAAGGAAGGAGGACACAGAGAAGAGCGCGGTACCTGCTGAGGTCAGCGAAGGTTTGCAAAGGAAAGCAATTCACTGTGGTCGATGCTGCTGGTTATTGAGACGAACACTGAAAATGACAACTTGAAGGTCATTGTTGACAACGTTAATGATAATGATTATCATTGGAATAGCACGGCACAGGCTCAGAATACCTGTACTTCATTATACGACCCATGGAGAATTGTTGGACAAGCATTTCTCCCGCTATTCCATTTACAAAGCTCACACACTAGTGAGAGCACACTACGGAGCAGAGCCAAAAGGAGGCTGTTAGGTGATAGATGATAAGTAGAATTTAGCAGCATACATGGGTAGTTAAATAGACAAAATTTATGTAGATATATATTGCAGGTAGAAATTAGATAGATAGATAGATAGATAGATAGATAGATAGATAGATAGCTTTGGGGGAAGGAGACAGGCTTTCTGGGTCAAACGCAGATGGCTCCATGGGAATCCCTGCTGCACTGAGTTCCAACATGTCAAAACCACAATGTCCACAGTGCCACCACTGTAGTAAATCACGCCTCAAGATTCATGTCGGAACATTAACCACCACAGCTCAGAGCATGACTATATTTGAAGATTGGGTCTTTGTGGATGGAATGAGGGCAAAATGAGGTAATAAATGTCACCTTTAACAGGTGTCCTTATATGCGGAGGTGACCAGGACACAGATGCACAGAGGGAAGGCCACAGGTAGCCACGGGAAGATGGCCACATGCAAGGCAAGGAGAGAGGCTTCCCGAGAGACAGGCCCAGCGAGTGCCCCCGGCCCAGACACCAAGCTCCAGAGAAGAAACTTCTACTTATGCCACCGGGCCTGTGGATTCGCTGCGTTACGTGGCCCTAGCTGCCTAACGCGTATTTTACCACCATGGAGCGGGGTGCTGCTGTAACAAATACTTAAGCATGCAGGGGCAGCTTTGGAACTGGGAAATGGATAGAAGTGGAAGGGTTCTGAGAGGCGTGTCTAAGAAGTGTACATAGATTGCCTCAAAGCAACTTGGCCAAAATATAAACTGTAAAGGCAATTAGTTTCATTATCTTAGAGAAGATAAAAGTTGTCATTGTCTCTGTTACTCTTCTCTCCTTTCTGGGACAAAAGATCCAACACTCAAAATTAAGGAAAGAAAGGTTTAATTAGCTCACAGTTTGTGGAGATTTCAGTTTCATACTTGGCTGGCCCCAAGGAAGAGTGGAACATGGCAGACGGCAGCAGTTTATGGCTGCAGAAAACAGCAAAAAACAAACGGGAGGAGCAACAGCACCAGTTGCAAGCCTCTCTCCTTTCCTCATATTGCCTGTAAGCTGTCTGCGCCAGGCGGGGGTAGTACTCACACACATAATCCCAGCAGTACTTAGACTCATAATCCCAGCCTTGGATCATGAATTAATCACAAACTCTAGAACCCCCACTCCAAGGACCGCATGAGGCTTTGGGGGAACATCTAGACACAGTAACAGTCATGAACAGAAAAATGAATGTGAAAGTGTTTCTGGTGTGATCCGGTTATGCCTTGGCTCCATAATGTCCCCAGCAGCTCGTGTGTCACAGGCACTGTCCCCAAGGCAGCAGTGTTGCAAGGAGAACACTAGAAGGTGATTGGGCCATGAAGTCACTGACGTCATCACTGGCGTCATCACTGGCTCAGTCCACTGATGAAGTCATAATTTACTTGGCCATTGGGAAGTGGTATCAACGTAAGCAGGGTCCTGCCTGGAGGAAGCGGTCCCTGGAGGGTGCTCTGGAAAGCCACATGCAGCTCCTGGCCCTTTCTCTCTCAGTCTGTTTCCTGTATACTGTGAGGTGAGCAGCCCCACTCTAGCCCCTGCTCCCTCCGTGACCTCCCCCCTTGGTACAGTCACAGAACAAGCCAGCCACGTGACCACTGACACCTCTGAGATCCTGATCTAGAGTACAGCTTTCCTCCTTTGATTTTTCTCAGCTGTTTTGTCACAACAACAGAGATCCAGCTCTCAGTGGAAACCTGAGATCCGGCCACAGATCTGGATCCACAGATCTCTGTGGGAAGTGACGAATACATTCCTGGAAACTGGAGTAAAGGCGACCCTTCTGAAGCCAACGAGGTCCTGGGCAATTTGGGTCCTGCAGCTCTGTGGAAGGCAGGACTGGGAAGCGATGAACTCGCATCTTTTACCAGAGGACAGTGCTAAGCCAAGCATGGAAGGTGGGACTTGAGTTCACTCCATCCCAGTATCTGGCAGGGCATCCCTAGCAAACGAGCATGGTAGGAAAGTGGCTGGCTGGCCACAGAGGGGCCTTTGCTCTTCTGTCAGTGACAAGGAGCCTGCAGACTGGGAAGCAGGGCAAAAGAAAGTCAGCTCCCAGCCATGCCTGGGCTTGCTCTGCCTGGTTCCTGGTGACAGCTCCTGCTGTGTGCTCACTGTGTGCTCACTGGACAGGCCCCATACAGCAAGACCTAGAAGCTCCTGAGGTTGACCTGCTCCTCCAGAGCCAGACCTCATTGCAGAAGGAGAATTCATGGAGAAAGGGGCCAGATGGGCTGCACAACATTGCCTTAAAGAGCAAGCACTCTTCTCATTTAAAAAAAAAAAAATGTATTTAGTACAGGGTGTACAGGGTCTCACTGCATAGATTGGACTCGTAGTGATTCTCCTGTTTTCAGCCTCCCAAGCACTGGGATTATAGGCACACGCCACTGCACCCAGTCTCAGCACGCCCCAGGGGCAGGGCTGGCACTGCACTCCAGCGATCAACCTCTGGTCAGTGCGTCTACCTAAGCAGGTGTGTTAGTCCACTGAGCTATCTGGCCGGCCCAAGTGCTCCTCTCATGACAGCCATTTGAAGAAGCCATGATGCAAAAAAAGGGAACTCTGCATGATCGCACTCGTACGGAGAATCCGAGCACACAGGAGCAGAGTAGAAGAGTGATTTTCAGAGAGGTGTTAGTCAAAGCGTACAAAGGTTCAGTGAGAGAAGAGGAAGGAATTCAAAAGATTCACTCGGCAGCTGACCTGTCATTGTTAACAGTCTACTGTGTGTGCAAAAACTTCCAAGAGATTTTAAGTATTCTCATCATAAAAATATGAGAGGCAGTGCATATGCTAATGAACTTGCCTTAGTTATTCTACTATGATTGCATAAATTAAAACATGTTGTACACACCATACATATACATGATTTTTAATTCTCAATAAAAAAGCAATAGCTCTGTTGGTAGCTGGTGAACAGCAAGCTCCAGGGACAGCAGCATGGCCACATGTACCTTAGAAGCGTCTCATCAACAATTCAAGAGCAAGGAAGGAATTATATGCATTCACGGCACACCCACCAGCTTTCTCTGGAGTTGGGTACAGTGGGGCCCAGTGCCCTGGGGACCTGGGATTTGTGTAATTTACTAGAATTGCAAAGTAGGTGAGGCAGGGAACAAGGCATGACATAGCCATTTTCAGCAGGGGCCAAGATGAAGGGTAGCCCTACCCCACCATGCCTGCATGCTTTCCAGTCAATCAGTGGCTTGCTTTAATTTGGAAAAGAGCCAGAGTCTAGCTCAAGGATTGAAGCACTCACTCTGCAAGCACTGGGGCCCTGCGCCCTGCTGGAGACGTAGGCACAGGCGATAGAGCTTCTGCGCAGGCATCCTCTAGGATCCTGACGGCCATAGCTCCTTCCTCTCAGAGATGCACCAGTTGTATCAATCACAACCTGGTATCTGGTTAAGTGAATCTAAATCGCCACTGTGAAACTAAAGAAAACAGAGAGTGTCTCAAGCAAATAGAAATCATCTCCACAGAATGCGAGGACATCTCTGATGGAGGGACTTGGTCAAGCAGCCTTTCTGGAAGAACCCAACCAGTGGACACTCACACTTCTTCCTTGGGAGCCTGCATGCCCCCAACAAGTGCTGGCTTCTCGTCTGCATCCTGGGTACTTCTTCCTGAGGTCAAACAGAAGAAATGATGGGTAGAAAGGAGATGAAGAAATTGTAACTAAAAATTGCATTTTCAGGACAGCTACAGCTGCCAGGACCCAGGACCCAGGAAAAGACACCGCGCCAGCCTTGCCACCATTGTGCAGTTACATCTAGATTCCTTCGCCTTTAGAACACCACACCCAGAGCTCCTCAGGAACACTGAAGTAAATGGGCTTCATTGAGAAAGTAAAGAGCAGGCACCTGACCTTAAGATCAATGAACAGTTGAGAGAATCCAAAAATATTTAAATTACCTGTCTTGGAAACAACAAAAGAAAACTGGGCCCATCCCTGTAGTAGAAAGGACCAGCGCCCTTCTGCGGCTGGCCTGCCTTTGGCTGGCTCCCAACCCGAGACAGGAGCGTAAGGGCCCCTAGTTCCAGTGCATGAGCACTCCTCTCGCGTTGGGGCTGCATCCCTTGCTTTGCATACTTCTACATTTCTGCCTAATCAAACCCTTCCAGTGCTTCTTACTGACTGTTGAAAGTTCTTTTTCCACAAGCAGAGTGAGCCAACCTGCCAACTTCCTGTGCAGGTAGGGCAGGTGTAAGTGTTTACCTTGGCTTTGGAAAAACCCAGGTCCTTTCCCAGGATCTGCTCACTGGCTGCTCCACTCCACAGGAAGGCTGACTCCAGCCCTCGGGGTCACCTCCTCCTGCCCCGGCATTCCCACGCTCACCTGCCCTGGATCAGGGCCTCACTTCCTGCCACAGCCTGGCTCCTCGCGCATTGCTCAGGTGGACAATGGGCAGCCACTGGCGTGGGCTGCAGGGCTCACCCATGTCCCTCCTCACGCCACAGCAGTCCTCTCCCTGCTGTCCTCAGCACTGCTAGGGTCGCTAGCATCTCTCCAGCCTAGCGAACTTCACCCAAGCCACCATTCGCCTGTCTTGTCCCCACAGCACAAGCAGATGGGTTGATTTCAAAGAGCCCAGCAGTTCTGAGAATTCTGAAAGAACGTTCTTTCTCTGTTTCATTACTTGCTTCCTTCCTATTCACCAACCCTGTTCTTATTACTTCTCAGTGTTTAACTGACACCTAAAAACAAAAAGTATACATATTTACAGAATATCATATGATATTTCAACACATGTACATCATGTCTAATAAAACATTATCCATGTCTTTCTCCTGCAACAATGATCATTTCTTTATGGTGAAAAGATGTGGTACACTGTCGTTACCTGTAGTCACCCCACCATGAAGAGCACACAGAACTTCCTACTCCCCCCTATTTACTCTAACTGTAACTGAGACCCAGTTGGACAGCTGTAATGGCTGATGCACTGGGTCACCCTGAGACATTTAGAAGGCTACCTAAGGCACTGGCAGAGGCCAGGGTCCTCACTGTGTCACCATCCTCAGCCTGTGTAAGAGGAGGGCAGGAGATGGTGAGTGCTGCACCTACTCTGGGGGGACAGCCAGCTCACCCTATAAGGGGAGGAGACAGGCTTGCTCCCCCTTGTGCTCGTGCTGCTGTTGCCCCCGGGCTGTGCCACCCTGCCTTGGAGCAGCTGATGATGGACTGAAACGTCCACAGACGGTGAGCTAAAGAAACCTTTCCTTCTTAATTAGGACATCAGGTATTCTGTCTCAGCAAGGAGAGAACAGTACCCAAGATGACACCCTTTCCCTGTCCCTGCCTCCTAGTTCACTGTTTGCAGTAGGTGTCCTTCCCATCGAGGACCAAGTAATCAAAGTGCTAAAGGAGCTAGGAGTAGCAATGGGAATAAGAGAAAGCTGGAGACGAGGAAGCGCGCGTGTTTCCTCTGCCTCTGGAGCAATGGGCGGGGACCAGAGGAGGCTGAGCGGAGCACCCGTGGGGCTGCGCTTCTTGCCTTTGAAGTGCCCGTTGCACATCCCCCCGTGACAGACGGGAAACTGAGGCAGAGGTCGTCCAGGCACACAACGCCGGGGACTCCACCGGGCCCTTACAGCCCTTGACTGTCTGCCAGACGCAAACCTAGTCCATTAGCCCAGGCCCAGTGTTTCCAGAGGTGCCACGGAGTCTCTGGTGCTAGTGAAAGGGCAGGGCCGACGGGAAGGCCCCTGCCAGGCGTGCGGCTGAGCAAGGATCAGCAAGCCACGGGCAGAGCGCAGCACCGCAAG